TCATGGCAATTTTATTGGGAAAGATCTATCAAATCTGTCTATTAACTGGAAAGTTCCACTAAACAACAGTGTTCAGGTTTGGAAGCTGCCCTTTTTGGACCAAATTCTAGAATCGAGAATATCTACTCATCATGATTGGGCTGTACCTAGGACCAGAAAGACTGTGTGATAAATCCTTTCACATCCAAGCCACAGAATATCAGCAGCCCAGAATACAATGTGCCTGAATTTCCAATTTTTCTGTGAGAGTTTGTATGTATGTAAGACTTGATTCACCTGACATGCATGCAGAAGATCTTGGAGCAGCTGTCATTCATTCCATTTTCATTTTTTACTGAAATATTCTTACTGTATTCATACTGGAGGATTGTACATGGGTCAGCACATGGCTCTTTTATATTGTAGTAGTAAGAGTGAAAGAAAGGCATTGGTTGAATAATTACTTCTATGCCCTAAGTGAGGGTAGAATTCTGGCTCCCCTTGTCCCTTTGGATACCTCTGTTCTTCACACTTCTTGTCCTTGGCACTGATGGAACCCTGCCAGTGGAGAGTAGAGATGGAAAGAATGGCTGGCATTCTTTTGGTTATTCCCGACTGTCAATCCATAGACAAATCCAACTGATTCAGTGGCTCCCATTGAAAAATGAGGCTTCTGACAGTGAGGGAAACCTCATCAGGAAGAGAGAAAAATTTGCAGTTTTCCCCCTGTATTCAAATTTTCTGCAGTGTTTTGAAGAAATTATTCTGCAGGAAAAAAACACTACATGACCTTTTCTGCAAAATATGCTTTCTGTGCAGAAAATGGATATCCCTGCACAGGTAGCAGTGCTTTCTGCACAAAAAATAGGTTTTCTGTAAAAAGAAAAAAAAAGAAAAGAAAAGAAAAACATGTTTTTTCCACAGAATAATTATTTTACAATACTTTGCAATATGGGAAGAATACTACAGAGGAATATTCTTTTTTTTTCTGCAGCAAGATGAATACTACCATAATTATTCATCTTCATATGTAGGATGAAATAGTTAAGGATTTACATTATCTGGTAGAGAGTAATGACACAACAGTGCTAACATGCCAGTGTGAATCTCTGGTCCTGCTGTATGACCAGGTTTATCACATGTGAAATTAGGGATGATTTTTATCCCCTAGGAGATCTGAACTGGGGATTAGATTGCTCCATTAGAGCAATACAGAGACAACAGTGAACTATATATTAAAGATGCACTTTCTGTTTAACGCTCTGTAGAAAAGCAAGCTAAGTTTTATCAGCCAAGTGACTGACCAATCAAAGTTTGTACTTCCAAATATATTCAGAATATTAATGCTCCCATGCACGTAGATTTTCAAAAGCCCTTAGTAGTGGAAGGACAGATACTGTGCTTCCGAGTTTCTGTGGAGCTTATGGACTACCTGAAGTATAACCCTTTAAGTATAACTCTACATGGCAGCAATAATGTCTAAAATGCTCTTCAAACTTTGGAACAATGGAACAAGACTCACAGCCATGAATAAAAAAGAATGTCATTTGCAGTTCCAAGTAGGTATTCAAATGAATATGTGAGAGTACAACATATATATGACACATCTGATCTTGCCAAGAGTATCTACACGTGTGCCATCTCTGCTCTCTCCAGGCCACTTACATGCATTCAGTGTGCAGTTCTGGAGTGGGATTTTAAACACATTCAGATAAACATGTTTAGTGATATCCCTGTCTTTGGAGAACCCTACATTATCAGAGTTCTAAGCAATTCCAGTTATATGCATTTAGAACTGGTGAGGGGACCTATAGTGGTCATTTAGCTGTTGTTGAACTATAGCTTTTGGGATTCCTCACCATTGGCCATGACCACATTCCAACAACATCTGAAAGTTAGAAAATTCCCACTTCCAGATGTTCATGTAGACAGGAATAAGAATACAAAGGTCAGAACTTGTATAAGTAGCCCAATTGTTTCCTTTATATATTTAAAAAAACCAGGACAGGCTTTAGGTAAGTGAGGCCGTTGCTTAAGATGGCTGCCATTTGAAAACAAGAGGTGTTGATGGAGAAAGCTGCTGTCTTCCCATCACAGCAGTTGAAGTCAATGCCTCCCTACAACAAGGCAGAGTTCCCTCTTGCTTAAAGGAGGCAGTTGTGAGGCCTTTGTTTAAAAAGCCATCCCTGAACCCCACAATAATGAATAATTATTGGTCAGTGTCCAACCTACCATTTTTTTGGCCAAGGTTTTGGAACATATGGTGGCTTCCCAACTCCAGGGGTTTCTGGATGAAACAAATTATCTGAATCCATTTCAATCTGGTTTCAGGAACAGAGACAGCCTTGGCTGCCTTGGTGGATGACTTATGCAGGGAACTGGACAGGAGGAGTATGTCTCTATTAGTTCTACTGGACCTCTCAGTGGCTTTCAATACCATTGACCATGGTACCCTTCTGGGCTGCCTCTCTGGGATGAGACTTGGAGGTACTGTTTTACAGTGGCTCTATTCCTTCCTGGAGGGGATTCCTGCTTGAGCCCCTGGCCATTGGCCTGTGGGGTCCCACGGGGTTCTGTGTTGTCCTCTATGCTATTTAACATATACATGAAGCTGCTGGGAGAGGTTGTCTAGAATTTTGTGGTGCAGTGTTATCAATATGCTGATGACACTTAATTCTACTACTCCTTTCTACCCCAATCTAAGGAGGCTGTCCTGGTCCTAAACCAGTGTCTGTCATCAGTAATGGAGTGGATGAGGGCAAGCAAGTTGAAACTTAATCCAGATAAGGCAGAGGTGCTCTTGGTCAGTTGGAAGGCAGATCCGGGAATAGTGGATCCAGCCTGTGTTAGATGGGGCACACTTATCCTGAAGATGCAGTAACCAGGAGTGCTTTTGCACATTTAAAACTTGTGCACCAACTGCACCCGTTTCTTGAGACACCGGATCTGGCCTCAGTGGTACATCCTTGGTTACATTCTGTTTGGACTACTGTAATGCATTCTACTTGGGGCTGCCTTTGAAGAGTGTTTGGAAACTTCAGCTCCTCCAAAGAGCTGCAGCCAGGCTGCTAACAGGGACAGGTTACAGAGATCATACAATGCCCTTGTTGAAACAGCTCCACTGGCTGCCAGTTTGTTTCTGTACAAAATCCAAAGTGTTGGTGATGATCTTTAAAGTCCTATATGGTTCAGGTCCAGGATATTTGGCAGATTGTATCTCCCTCCATAAGCTGGCTGGGGCTCTGAGATCCTGAGGGGAGGCCCTTCTGTCCATCCACCACCATTACAAGCATGGTTGGTGGGGACACTAGAGAGGGCCTTTTCTGTAGCTGCCCCTAGAATCTGTAACTCCCTTCACAGGGAGACCAGAATGGCCCCTTCCTTGATGGCCTTCCACCGATAGGCGAAAACTTTCCTTTTCAGACAGGCATTCAAAACAGAAAACTTTTAAAGAATGGCCTGGGATGCTTTATTGTTTTTCGATCTATTTTAAACATTATTATCTTCTTTTTTATTTTACTGTAGTAGTTTAATTCAGTTTTAATGTATTCTTTTTGGTTTTTTTTAATTGTATTGTTTTTAATGTTGTAAGCCACCCTGAGTTCCAGTCCTAGGAGAAGAGTGGGATATAAATAAATATAATAAATAAATAAAAAGTCCAATTGGTTTTTGTATCTGGAATGGGGGAGGGTGCCATATCGTTCTTTGTCTCAGGAAACAAGATGTCTTAGGATGGCCCTGGCAGTGACTGCTTGAACAAGACTCCTCTATCAATAACATCTGACCTTGCTGTCCAGCACTTAAAAAAATCCTTTTCTCTAAACTATACAATTCCATTAGAAGCCCATCTTAGGATTTTTTATGAGTTTCAATTTACTCCTTCCAAAAAAAAAAAAAAAAAAAAAACTTTCAATCATACCTCTCCTTTATAAATCCACAGCTGGATTTTTCTCTCTCAGCATATTTGTTTTGGAAAGGTTACATTCCAAGCTTGTGATTGTGATTCTATAACTGGAAGCTCTGACAGGCCTTAGCATTGGTATTTTTGCATGCACCCCATTTTTCCAATCCTCACCGTGCTATAATCAGAAATAACCTGTCAACCCTTTAACAACTGAATAGTTTAGCATGGCAAGTGTAAAACAGGTGTACCTTCTTTCTCCATATCAACTTGCTGTTTGTTGATTCTGTTGTCACTGTAGCTCCAAGACTTTAAATTGACAGATTTGCATCAATGAGGCTCTGATGGGAATGTTGCTCTCATTAGAAAATAGGATCCAGATTCTTTCAAAGAAAAGCGGCTTGGAGGTTTTTCAGCTGCTGACAGATTTCAGTAAGCTGTTCTATTCAAGCTTCTATTTTCAACTGCCTGAGCTCCCCAAATTTAACATATAATTTCAATTTATTTCTACTGATTTTCCAATACATATAACAGATATAACAAAAACTAACTAAATAAATTAATGTGGATATTCAGACATAATGCTCTTTTGAACAGAAGATTATGAGCTGAGAGCTCCTGAATCTTGTTCCAATAACTGTGGCAGCCAAAATGAAACCTTCAGTTCTTACAATAACTCTATAGTATATTTTTCATGGACGTTTTGACTATAATAATGCAGTGGCCCCTTGGTATCCACTGAAGTTTGGTTCCAGGATCACCCATGGATACCAAAATCCATGGATGCTCAAGTCTCATTCACAGTGACATATAAAATTGTGTCCCTTATATAAAATGGTAAAATCAAGGTTTGCTTTTTGGAATATATATATCCCTGGATGGCTGAATCCATGGATTAAAAAAAAAAAAAACTGTGGATATGGAGGGTTGATTGTAGTCAAAATAAACTTCTTTATATCAACAACCAGAACATGTTCCTTATCCATTTACTCATGGTGTTCTAAGTATATTTGTTATTGTTGTGTGTCTTCAAGTCATTTCTGACTTTTGGTGACCTTATCACAGGGTTTTCTGAGGCTGAGAATGTGTGACTTGCCCAAGATCACACAGTGAGTTTCCATGGCCAAGCAGGGATTTGAAACCTGGTTTCCAGAGTTGTAGTTCAATGCTCAAACCACTATACCACCCTGGCTTCTGTCCTAAGAATACTTAGGACCAAAGACTTTTAGAGTTGGAAAAAGTGGTGACTGATGGCTTCTTATGCCAATGAGGCTTTGGATCCTTTCCAGATTTTACACAAAATGTTAAAGGTGCTATCTAAGATGTTGGACTTACTTTAGAAATAGGGTTTGGCACCTTGAGTAGCCCCACCCTCCCTGTTGTTTCTCTTTATGGGTGGAGACAATCTGAAGAGAAGAGTTTCCTTACATATGGAGGCTCTGGGCGTTTTTACATACAGACGTCCAAAGCCACCTGGAGCCTTTCCGGAACGGATCCTTCAGCTCATTCCGGAATGGCTCCAGT